TATCCTATTAGTTATGAGTCTAATTTAAACCAACTCAGATATGGGTTTTCTTATTGCAACTTAATGTTAGGTTGGAGGTGGATACCAACCTCCGACGGCGGAGGAGCTCCGACGAGCTCCAGGATAACGCGATGGTGAGCTCGAGCAGTTGAGCTCGAAATTGGCGAACGCGACCCTCGTTTGGCGAACGCGATCCTCGACGTGTTGGCGGCTCGACCCCCGCGTTCAGAACTCCGACGTCTGCGTTCAGCACCTCCCACGCTCGCGTTTTTGGCCTCCCACACCCGCGTCCGAGCAACCGCTGGCGACAGGCTGTCGCCAGCCGCCTATAAAACCCCCCTTTTGCCCCTAGGGTTTTTCTGCTCCTTCTCCCCGACTTTTCTCTGGCGGCGGCGGCGATTCCTCTTTAACGCAGCAGCGTTCATCTCCTAAAATCGCAGCAGCGATTTTCATTTAATCCCAACTTTTTCAACAGTGTTTTGAAAGGGGAATTAAGAAGAGAGAGAGAAGAGAAAAGGGGATTTTATTGTGGGTATTAACACTGTAGCTACAGTGTTCATTTGAGGAATCTCAGTTTAGAGATTTGCTCTTGATTTGTAATTTCTTGTTAGATTAAATAAGAAATTGACTGTGTGGCTCCCGAGGACGTAGGCAGTTGCCGAACCTCGTAAATCTTGTGTACTGTTCTCTATTCTGCGTTTCTGTTGCATTAGGGATTTAGGTGTTAAAATTCCCAACAACTGGTATCAGAGCGTGAAACGATCTAGAGAAAGTCAGATTCAAGTGGGAGTCATGGCCGCAGATGAAGGAAAGGTGAGATTAGAGAAGTTTGATAGATCAGATTTCGGATTCTGGAAAATGCAGATAGAGGATTATCTGTATCAGAAAAATCTGTATCAACCTCTCTCGGGGAAGAAGCCGGAGGGTATGAAGGAAGAAGATTGGAATCTTCTGGACAGAAAAGCCCTCGGAGTTATCAGATTGACATTAACTCGCAATGTTGCGTTCAACATAGCGAAGGAGAAGACCACGACGGGTCTTATGGCAGCACTCTCAAATATGTATGAGAAGCCATCAGCCTCAAATAAAGTCCATTTGATGAGGCGGTTGTTCAATCTGCGAATGGCGGAAGGTGCATCGGTAGCACATCACCTCAATGAACTTAATACGGTTACAACCCAATTAAGTTCAGTTGAGATTGAGTTTGATGAGGAAGTTCGGGCGTTGATACTTTTGTCTTCCCTACCAGAGAGTTGGAACGCTACAGTCACGGCAGTGAGTAGCTCATCGGGAAAGAAAAAGTTGAAGTTCGGGGAGGCAAATGCAGATGTGAACGTTGCCTCCACCTCAGGAGGAGATGATGCGCTGATATGCTCTTTGGAGAGCAAGGAGGAGTCTTGGGTGTTGGACTCGGGAGCATCATTCCATGCTACTTCTCAGAAAGAATTCCTCGAGAAGTATATCCCTAAAAACCTTGGAAATGTATATCTTGGTGACGATCAAGCATGTGCCATTATTGGCAAAGGTATAGTGAAGATTAAGCTGAATGGGTCAGTATGGGAGCTGAAGGATGTCAGGTTTATTCCCGACCTGAAGAGGAACTTAATCTCAGTAAGCCAGCTGGCTAGTGAAGGCTACACGATAACTTTCCATGGCGATGACTGGAGGATTTCGAAGGGCGCAATGACGATTGCCAGAGGCAGGAAGACTGGTACCCTGTATATGACAGCAGGTGCACGTTGTTCGATCTCAATTACAGCAGGCAATAAGACTTCAAAGCTGTGGCACCAGAGACTCGGTCATATGAGTGAAAAGGGGATGAAGGTTATGCACACAAAGAGAAAACTCCCAGGTTTACAATCAGTAGAGATTGATGTGTGTGAAGAATGCATACTTGGAAAGCAGAAGAGGGTTAGCTTTCAGACAAGTGGCAGACCCCCTAGGAAGCAGAAGCTAGAGCTCGTTCACTCGGATGTTTGGGGACCAACAACCACTGCGTCGATTGGTGGGAAACACTACTTCGTGACTTTTATTGATGATCACTCTCGGAAAGTATGGGTCTACTTTCTGAAGAAAAAGTCAGAAGTGCTTGAGGCTTTTAGAAGATGGAAAGCCATGGTCGAGAATGAGACCGGTTTGAGGGTAAAGAAACTCAGAACAGACAATGGCGGTGAGTATGAAGACACCAGATTCAAGAAGTTCTGCTACGAGCACGGTATCAGAATGGAGAGGACCGTGCCCGGCACGCCTCAGCACAATGGTGTGGCTGAACGCATGAATAGAACATTGACAGAAAGAGCCAGAAGCATTCGGACGCAGTCAGGCCTACCGAAGCAGTTCTGGGCAGAAGCAGTCAACACAGCAGCTTACTTGATCAACCGAGGTCCATCGGTTCCATTGGAGCACAGAATACCAGAAAATGTATGGTGCGAAAAGGAGGTAACCCTCTCACATCTCAGAGTTTTCGGTTGTGTAGCTTATGTGCATATAAGTGATCAAGGCAGGAATGAGCCTGATCCCAAGTCTAAGAAATGCACATTCATCGGATATGGTGAAGACGAGTTCGGCTACCGCATTTGGGACAACGAAAACAAGAAGGTGATCAGGTGCAGAGATGTGACATTCAACGAGAAAGTGATGTACAAGGACATGCACAAGACAGATGACGGTGACTCAGAGAGCGAGTCAACATTTGTAGATGCAGATGATGTCCCAGATAACCTCTCGGAAGAACCCAATGCAGAAGGTCCTCAGCCAGAAGAGCCTGTTGGACAGAATGGTGCGCAGGAGCCCGACGCAGGAGCCCGACGCACCAGCTCCGATATTGAGGAGAACTACTCATCCTCCTGTGCCTAACAACAGATACATGAATTATATGTTGCTGACAAATGGAGGAGAGTCTGAAGGCTTTGATGAACCTTGTCAGAGTGGAGATGCGAGCAAGTGGGAGTTTGCTGCGAAAGAAGAGATAAAATCTCTGATCTCCAACCATACATGGGAACTAGCTAAGTTGCCCATGGGGAAGAAGGCACGTCACAACAAGTGGGTGTATCGAGTGAAAAAGGAGCAGAATGGTTCCAGAAGATACAGAGCCCGACGAGTTGTCAAAAGATTTCAACAGAATATCCAAGGAAGAAAGGATCCAGCGGATATGTTGACAAAGGCAGCGACCTTTCAGAAACTGGAGTTGTGTGCAACTTCAGTTGGCCTTCATGCATAGATGATGAAGGCGGAGCCACACAGGAGAGGAGCTTGATGGGATAGCATGTTGTCGTCGGTTTGGTCTCCAAGTGGGAGATTGTTAGGTTGGAGGTGGATACCAACCTCCGACGGCGGAGGAGCTCCGACGAGCTCCAGGATCCCTCGCGTCCGAGCAACCGTTGGCGACAGGCTGTCGCCAGCCTGTCAATTCCGCCTATAAAACCCCCCTTTTGCCCCTAGGGTTTTTCTGCTCCTTCTCCCCGACTTTTCTCTGGCGGCGGCGGCGATTCCTCTTTAACGCAGCAGCGTTCATCTCCTAAAATCGCAGCAGCGATTTTCATTTAATCCCAGCTTTTTCAACCGTGTTTTGAAAGGGGAATTAAGAAGAGAGAGAGAAGAGAAAAGGGGATTTTATTGTGGGTGTTAACACTGTAGCTACAGTGTTCATTTGAGGAATCTCAGTTTAGAGATTTGCTCTTGATTTGTAATTTCTTGTTAGATTAAATAAAAAATTGACTGTGTCGCTCTCGAGGACGTAGGCAGTTGCCGAACCTCGTAAATCTTGTGTACTGTTCTCTATTATGCGTTTCTGTTGCATTAGGGATTTAGGTGTTAAAATTCCCAACACTTAATAGATTTGAGGGCTCAATTTACAAATATAAAGAGTTTGGGGTCTATAGGATAGAATTAACAAAGATTTCTAGTATAACATGACAAAACCGTTTTTAATTTTTTTTTATACAAGTTCCTTAAAATTATACAAAAAAGAAAAACAGATTTGAAAAATAATATATACTCAAAAAAAATTCGCAGGCCCAACATTGGATTCATTACATATATAATTCCACCAATTTCCATCGACAATTTATGTTTTAATGATTTTGAGTGAATTGCAAATAAACCCCTTGTAGACCAATTAATTGTCAATAGCCTCCGTGTAGCTTTATTTGTGCGAAGAGACCTTGTGTACTATTGGTCCAAATTAAAGTACACACCCTTAGTGAACTTTTTCAACTTTTTTTAAAGGTCAAAAAATTAGCAATTTGCGGGAGTGGTGGGTGGATGGGTTTATCCTTACCAATACAAGTGTAAGGGGTTTATCTGACTCCTCAAAACCTTTTTAATAATTTCAAGAGTAAAAAAAACACAGGGGGTCTAATCGCATAAATAGATCTATAGAGTATCTATTTGCAGTTGGGTGATACTACAAGACATCTATGTAGGTAACCCATTTAAATAATATAAACTTATGAAACTTGATCACCATATCTAATAAGGCACAATCATTATTTGTGCAGTGAACGAAGCAAGAAATAATATTTTTATCTATGAAACTATTGGTAATTATTTTACTATTTCTAAGTTACATGTAACCGTAGATGATGTCGTTTATAAAAAAAAGAAAAGAAAAAGAAAAAGGAAAAAACCTTTAGAATATGTTTATAAAAAGAAAAACTAAAATCTGTGATATTTGATCACGTGCAGCACAGGTGTGTCCCAACTAGTGTGTGTATACATATGTAGTTTTAGTTGTAGCTGTGTGTACGTGTGTGTCTCTCTCTATATATACACAATTTTTTTATTTTATGTATGCATTTTTTGTGTGCTGTGGGGTGGGGTGGGGGGGGGGGTGCTTTGCCTCGAGTTCAAAATTTGCATTAGTTGCTTGATTATAGATCAGCTGCAATGAAATGAAAGAATTTGCACAAATCATGGACTGAGTACAACGAAATGAACGGCTACAATTGACTTAAAACATACCAATGGCATGAAACTCGCAGTCGCTAACTCTTGTTGTACTCACAAAGACACCGAACATCACCGTGTGTCTTCATGAGCCACCAACCAGACAGAAACGAGAACCAAACAAATTTTGATTGAATTTTATCATTTACGTAAATCCTCTTTACATATCTATCTCAAACAAACGAACATTTAAATATAGATTTTTTTTAAATCCATTATACGCATCATGATTAATCCAGGGAACCAAACAGGCTCCAACTCCCAACAAATGCGTCCCCTGCTTCATTAACGAGTGGCCCACCTCAACTTTCTAAACTCAACGTCTCCAACCAATAAGCAAGCTCCACGTGAACACCAACAACATGCAAACCCCACAATCAAAATCATTCCTCATTCTGACCAAGTCATCTCCGATCACCAACAGCCCAAACCTCCGACCGAGTCCCCAGTCATCCCCTCCTTCGTTCTCTATCGAATGGCTAAACTCCCTACGTCCATAACGTAGTCTTCCTCCTCCATCGGCGGCAATCGCTATGACCAGAGGTGAGAAAGATGGGTATCCTCCCATTTTCTCCCTCATCATCTTCTTCTCCTCTGCGGCCCTTGTCCCCCAAGCCCGCGCACTCTCCTCTCCTACCGACGCCAACTCTCAACCGACCATCAAGTTCACACCGACTGATAACTATCTGATAAGCTGTGGCTCCCCAAATACCGACAGACTCAACGATGGTCGCACATTCAAATCCGACGCCCAGTCTCTCTCCTCCCTCTCCACCAAAGACAACATCAAGATTGTTGACACCAACACCAATGCCAATGACTCCATCCCTCCGTTGTATTCATCCGCTAGAGTTTTCACCGACCTCTCCACATACAAATTCACCACCACACCCGGCCACCACTGGGTCCGCCTCCATTTTTACCCGTTGCCGGACCCCACCCACAATATGAGCTCAGCCAAGTTCACTGTCAATACCGATGATATTGTCCTACTACGCGACTTTTCCATTTCCGCCACCACACCGCTCATCAAAGAGTACCTCATTGTCTCCAAGGATGGAGTATCCCTCAATTTCGCCCCCAGCAAAGGATCCATCGCATTCATCAACGCCATTGAATTAGTCAGCGCCCCTGATAGCCTCATCCACAGCACCGCCAAGGCTATCTCTCCCGAAGGGGAATTTTCCGGGATCTCCAACTATGCACTCGAGGTCACCCACCGGCTTAATGTGGGAGGTCCCGAGATTCAATCGGCTAATGACACGTTGGCTAGAACGTGGCGGTCTGATACTGAGTTCTTAAAACTCCCTCAATCAGCAAAGAGTGTGCTTGTTCTTCCGAAGACTATAAAATACCCTAGCGATGGCTCTGTTACTGATCTTGATGCTCCGAGCTTGGTGTATTCGACTGCGGTGGAGATGGGTAATTCTAATGTGTCTCAACCCAATTTTAATATTACATGGGAAGTTCCTAGCAATCCAGAATTCTCGTATCTGATCCGTATGCATTTTTGCGATATTGTAAGCAAGAACCTTAATAGCCTATATTTCAATGTTTACCTCAATGGAATGACGGTGGTTTCAAGTCTCGACCTATCTACGCTGACTACTGGCCTTGCAGTCGCTTACATGAAGGATTTTGTGGTCAATGCATCCACCATAGTTAACTCAACCATCCTTGTTCAGGTGGGTGTAGTTCCTGGATCAAGCTCTGGAAACCCTAATGCCATCCTCAATGGCCTCGAGGTCATGAAGATGAGCAACTTGGCGGGGAGCTTGGACGGTGCTTATGCAGTTGACGGCTCGTACCATGGCAATGAGGTTAAAAAGAGTCGGACAAAGAAGATTGTAGCAGGTGTGGGCATTACAATGGGCGCGATTGCACTTGCCTTGTTTGGCTTTATGTTCCTTCAATGGAGGAAACAACACTTGGAGAAGAAGAGGAATAGCTTCTCATCATGGCTCCTGCCAGTGCACACTAACAACTCAAATTTAGCAAGCAATTCCACAAAGGGGAGCTCAAGACACAAGTTTGGATCTCGTAAGAGTAGTAGACAAGGGCACACAAGTTATTTCGCAGCAAATGGCCTTGGTATCGGCAGATACTTCAGCCTTGCCGAACTACAAGAAGCAACGAAGAATTTCGATGAGAATGCAGTAATTGGAGTGGGAGGGTTCGGAAAAGTATATATTGGAGAGCTTGAAGATGGGACAAAGTTGGCTGTGAAACGTGGCAATCCATCATCAGATCAAGGGATCAATGAATTCCATACAGAGATAGAAATGCTCTCGAAGCTAAGGCATCGCCACCTAGTCTCCCTCATTGGATGCTGCGATGAGAACTCAGAGATGATACTGGTGTATGAATTCATGGCAAATGGTCCTCTAAGAGATCACCTCTACGGAAGCACTTCACATACTCCACTCTCTTGGAAACAACGGTTAGAAGCATGCATTGGAGCAGCAAGGGGGTTACACTACCTCCATACCGGTGCAGCACAGGGGATCATCCATCGCGATGTCAAGACCACCAACATTCTGCTCGATGAAAACCTTGTTGGAAAAATGGCAGACTTTGGCTTGTCCAAGACAGGCCCTTCACTTCAACAAACCCATGTGAGCACTGCAGTGAAAGGGAGCTTCGGGTATTTAGACCCAGAATATTTCCGCTCACAACAGCTTACTGACAAATCTGATGTCTACTCCTTTGGTGTGGTACTCTTTGAGGTACTATGTGCAAGGCCAGCCATTATTCCCACACTCCCAAGAGACCAGGTGAATTTGGCTGAGTGGGCAATGCAATCGAACAGAAAAGGACAGTTGGAGAAGATCATTGATCCAAATCTGGTCGGCAAAATTAGCCCAGCTTCATTAAAGAAGTTCGTGGAGGCTGCTGAGAAGTGTGTAGCTGAGCATGGAGTGGATCGTCCAACGATGGGCGATGTGTTGTGGAACCTTGAGTATGCCTTGCAGCTTCAAGAGGCTTCTATAGGACAGCATAGTGATGAGCCTTCTGGTGATAGTTCCAGGCATCTAGTACTGGAAAGCCCAGAGCGTGAGGAAGGAAACTTGGCCACCATCAACGAATCTGAGGAGTCACCAATTTTAGTGCCTGCACCACTGTTTCAAGGAAGATGAACCTAACTGGGTTTCCCAAAGCCTCTTAACTTCATTTTGTGCGCACATGAAAAAGATACTAATTTCCAATGTCTGAAGAAATATCTTCTTGATGGAGAGTTTATCAGGTCGGAAGATGGTGGTTTTACGCTAGATCCAATTCCCAATTTCTGAAGAAATATCTTCTTAATGGAGTTTATCAGGTCAGAGAATGGTGGTTTTACGCTGCTCCTAACATAGATTCATTATCATCCCTTCGCTTGAGAACAGGTGAACAAGTGTACCGTTATATTTTAATGTACTGTCAGAATAGACTTTTCACAACAGAACATGCCTGTATTCTTCACTACTCTTTTTTTTTCTCTCCTTTTTCATTTCATCACTTGTACAGTCTTTAAATAATATATGAATATTGTTTACTACATTTTATGCCCCTTGTGTAGAACATGAGATTTGTATCAGGCAATATTGCCTCTGCACTTACATGTACGAGAGCATGTAAAGTTACAACTCCCTTGATAATGAAAATCAGAGTTTCTACTAAGATATGAGGATCGTCTTATCATGCCCTTAACACAGTAAATCATAGTGTGTATCCTTCATGAATCCAGCGAATTTAATAAGGTAAAACTCTGGCTGGGACTAAACTTTTACAGGAAATAGACAAAAATAAGTTGCAAGAAAGAGAAGAGGTGATCAGAGTAGGTGTGGTGATTTGGGTGCTGGTGTATTGCTATGTTCTAATCCTTCAACCATCTTCTCTTTCATTTCTCTCCTCACTGTTCTGACATATTCTCCGTGCCTGCTACTTATATTGGCTTTCATATTCTCTTGTAGGATTTACCATTCACCCAATCCTACTTCATGATGTAAAGGATTGGAGGCAATCTTCTCCTCAGTTTGGTGAGCCATATTTGTAAATCAGTAATTAACTGTAATATCATCTGAGATCCTGTATTTACTAAGCTTACTCATATGGTACTGTAGCAGGTTGTTGTAGGGCATTTTAATTCCTTGTAGAAATAACACTAGTAAATTCTTATTGGATATGGGCAGCATTCTCCTTGACAGACACAAAAAATCATGGGGGCTTTTTGCCTTTAAACCCTAAGTTTCACCCCCATTATTTTTAAACCACTTATTCTATCTATACCAACACACCTAAAATACTTTTCCTTTTTATCTTTACACCCAAAAAATTAAGTACACCTTACTTCAATAAAGTATTTACACAAAAGCAAGGTTGCTGATAGCGGATCGCGGCGCGTCGCGGCGAGGTACCGCTAAGGCTATATCGGGCTATTGCGACGAAATCGCGGCAAATAGCGCACAATCAAATAGCGGTCAAATTTAAATATATTTAAATATCCTAAATAATAAGAAAATTCATAAAAAAATCTAAAAATTCAATTAGTTGTAAATTTCTTGTATTATCAATAAATAACAATTAATAAGCTTGTTGTATGAATGAAACTATGAAGAAATTCAAGAAATATAGCATCATAATATGTGTGATAGCGGGTTTAGCGGGTTTAGCCGCTTTTAACAACAAAAATCCGCTTTTAACCATGAAAATCCGTTTTTAACCGCGACAACCCGCTTTTAACCGCGAAAACCGCTTTTAACCCGCTAAAATCCGTTTTTACGCGCTATTCGAATGAATAGCGGATTTTCCCGCTTAAGCCAGCCGCGAAACCTCTACGCGTAGCGCTGAAGGGCCGCGACCGCTATTCGCGCCGCTATAGCCCCGCTATTGACCGCTATTTACAACACTGCACAAAAGTAAAATTAAAAACCCCGAAATGCCCTTCTCTTCCTCCTCTCTTAACCCAAAACTCATTCTTCTGCTTCTCACCCTCTCTACAGGCTCAACCTCTTTGTGGAACTTACAGAAGTTGGTGGCGATGGAACTTATAGAAGATGGTGTCAACTGTGGAGGGAGGGCGTCATTTAAGTGAAGAGAATAGGCTTTTTCTGTTAGTGAAAAGAAGAATAAGGGTAATTTGGGTATTTTGTTTATTAAAGAATACAATATATTATTTATGTAAATACTTGTATTTATACTATTGGGTTTAAAGATGTATACTGATGGTATTTTGGGTTTATGAGTGTAGATAGAAGTGAGTGCGTTTAAAAACAAATCAGGTAGGGTAAAACTTCGGATTTATAAACAGAAACCCCAGAAATCATATATTTGTACTAGAAGCATGCAACAATTGTAAGAGCTTCCAATTATATCAGATGCATCCATTAGTTCTTTATTAACTGTCTAAATTAGTTATTCATGAAATGATACATATAATGCGACAAAAATATCCCAAAGCACACCTTGATTTCGCCCCCTAAAAATGTTAAATAGCAAATTGTACATGAGACTAACAACTTTAATAAGATTCTTTGTAATTAGTATAAAGAGTGGACAAAGTAAAAGAGATTGTGAAAATAGATAGCACTCCATAGAAGAAATACAATATGGAGTTATATTGAAGGGCAACAATAATCATATCAAAAGGTTGACAGAACTTGACACAACCAACAACCAGGACATGAGTAGCCCTTTATCTTGCAAAGTAAATCAAGAAAGGCTAATCACTATCGTCAAAAATGTATCACGAGGAAAAAGGCTTCGAAGTAAAATTTCCTTGTTACATAGCTTACGAGTTATCCAAACCTACCACTTAAGTTCAACTTCTCCCCAAGATGACAAAATTGTGTTCCATAAATTATTACCCAGCTTTTCACCTTCAAATCCAGCATGTAAGCATTTGTCTAAGTCAAACTAACCTCCCATTGTAGGAATTTGATTGTGGACAAGGACTACTTGGTGCCAAATTAAACATCTTATGCAAATAGCTGCTTCATTTCCATTCTTCCACTGACTGTGACTCCTCTAAACTTGATCTGAATTCTGAAATATATCTTACATGATTACACATCCATGTAAGTTTACCAGGCCTCTCAATAAGCCAACAGATCAACTAAGGCATGCTTCACTAAGAGATATGAACTCGTATTGCCCTCTAACCTGTAACTCTCCTCTAGTTTGAAGACCGCAGTACACTCTTGCTAACCCGCTTTCCTCCAATTGAAAGAATACTCTCTCACTTGTGATATTAAGAACACAACTGTAGAGAAACAAAAGTGGTTTTACAACATCGGTTCAGTTGGTTCAATTGCGCTGCTCTTAAGTTCTTAAATTTGTACTGATCACAATATTCTCTACAGAGAGTTTAGTATCAGTTAAACTAATAGGTGATGATTCCCTTCTGTTTATTTTCTAGCCTTCAAGAAGATATCCCATGAAAGCACACAAGTGAAGGGTTACTACATACATACTGTGGGATGCTTGCTAGAGGAAACTAGTGCGCACCCCGTGCAAAGCACGGCCTCTTTTTTTTTAAGTATTGCATTTTAAACTTACATCCCTCCAGGTTTTAATACATTTAATTTGATTATTGTATACTTAAAATTAGAAATCATATCTACTTCTCTATACTTAAAAGAGGATCCAAGTTTTAATACATTTGATTTAGAAATCATATCTACTCCTTTATATTTAGAGGAGGATCTAAGTTTTAATAAATCTGATTTGATTTACTATTTATAATATAGTAAAATATTGTAGCATAAACAGTAACTTCAAAAATATATTGTCAGGTTTGAGTTACTGTTCACGGTATAGTAATTTACAGCTGAGGATGAATGTCAGTTTACTATTCATGCTACAGTAGTACTGTAGTTTCTGGTGGTTGCTTTATTGTTCGCTGTGCAGTAATTTAATGCTGCGACTGATCGGCCTATTTACTGTTCACTCTTCTGTGGTTACCGTAGTATGAATAGTGATTCTTTGTATCCTCCTATAAGTATAGAAGAGTAGATAACTATTCATTAAAATTCTCATGAAAAAGTTTTAAAGATGGGACACTGTTTTCAATGAACTTTACATCTAATTTCTTTCTTTGCTAACTCCCTCTCTTTCCTTGTTGAAGCTGTTAAATCTTTTTCAAGCTTCAGATATGACGAGATGTGTATGTGCCATGATTTCCAAAATTATATTTTACCATTTTGTATTATTTGAAAGCAGATACACATAAGAGTAATTCGTAAGTAATTAGTACTAATTTGATAAGCCATGAGATCAATGCAAAAATTAAGACAGAAAAAAAATCATATGTTTGATTGCACAGAGAGAAAAAGATGCATCTTGGATCTAAAGTCCTAATAGCAAACCATTGTCATAATAGCATGAGAGAGCTTGAACATTATCCTAAAGATGGTTGACACAGATCTCAGTCGATTGTCAATGTCACCTGCAATCATGACACATATAAGTGAGATTAGAGTTCCCACCCACAAGGAGGAAAAAAAGAGTCAAAAAGAGGACTATAGAAATTTGAACCTTACTATGATACACTGTAAAATTGCGAATTTAAAGCCTATCTTCTATATATGTATTTTGAAAGGGGAAAGTTTATACTCCTTGCAACCTGTACCAAATATCAAGTTATCAACAATCCAGAGACTATGAAGGTTAGAAGTAAAAATATTCCAAATTGACAATCATAGAAGCAGAAGAAGATAAAAGGGAAGCAAATATGCCACAGTACAAGGAATCAACCTTCAGAGCCATTTCTTCATCAACAGTAGAACGATATCTGGTGGAACCTTCTAATGGGCAGCTCCCACTCTTGCATAAAAAGTTGGCATTGCAAAGAGTAGACAGCTGCAATAAAACATCAGACATTAGACCAACCTTCCCGCCTCCACTCATAATTCCTTCTTCTTGAGGTTCTTCATCAAATACATCTTCTGCCACCGATGCAATGCACTGAAAAATTGCTAATAGCCTCTCCAATGGAAAAGTTCCAGGTCCCTTCATAAGTATTTCTTGTGCCATAGCATCTTTCTGGTCGATTGATGTCTGAGAACTCCTATGCATAATTGAAAAAGCAACCACAAACATATTTCTATATTTAGCAATATGAGAATAATCAATGACAAATCAAAATGATCATTCAATTGATAGTGGCAATACTTTCTCTTGCGCCTCCGGTTGTTAGATCCTCCAGTTGAGTCAAACAATGCTGCATCGAGGGTAGCAGGATTCCTCGAAGCAAGAAAGGCAGATAGAAGAAGGTACTTAGCAGACACCGACATATGAAAATCCAACTCATTAGAAGCCTCTTTCCCACCTATTCTCCGTGAATTCAACTTCTTATTACTAATTCCTTCCTTTGCAGCATCAAGAGAAGACCAAGAAGGCACCTTGAAAGTCTCATTTAAAGCAGATAATAGGTGAGGCTGAAGGTTATCAAACAGCCTTCTCTTTGTCGGCTCATCAGGAACCAATCTTGGATCAGTTAAAGGTTCGCAGTACTTTTGAAACAAAGGTTCCAAGGCAATTAACAACTCATCGAGCCGCCTCGTAATTCTATAAAAAGGCTTCAATACAACACTATATATAGAGAAAAGAAAACAACTATCATCAGCCACAATCAAGCCAAATATAGAGTCCATCTAAGGTTACCAAATTTACAATTCCACATAAACATACCTTAAGAAAGAGGAATACAGCTTCGGGTTTTCTTGATTTCTCATAAATATAGCATGAAGGTCCTCCACAGTGTAATCGGGGAAATAGACTGTCACGGGTTCTGTCGACCCCGTACTCAAATAGTAACCCTCGGGCGTCGAACTACTGATATAGACAAAGCCCACTTCAGGAATTCTCAAAATATCATTGATCCTAAACAACAAGGACAAAACACTAGCATTCCCATCCCACGATCTAATAACCTCCACATTATCAAACACCAGATAGGTCGTCTTCCCACAACCCGCTTTCTTTTTCCCCTTCCCGAGATCATTCAACACCTGAACCAAAGAATCTCTCAGCAAATTGACAAACTCCGACGCCCTCTCGCACCTCCTCGCGCTCGAGTACCCGTTGCTCTCGCTCTTTCTATGAAAAGCCAACTGATTGAGTACCGATTCGAATAGGATTCGGGGGTTGTAACAAGATCGGCAGCTTACGTAGATGAAAGGGCGGTTGAGGTGGTGAAAGATTTTGAGGATGGTGCTGGTTTTTCCGGTCGAAGCTCCGCCGTAGAGAAGGATGGGCAGCATTGGGGAGTCTACGGGACCGATCAGTCGCAGGACGTCGAGGATTTGGGCTCGGCGGCCGGGGAGGCTCGAGAGCAAGTTCTCAAGAGAAATGGAGGTCCGAGAGAACGTGAGGCCATCGGATGGGACTAGGGTTAGGGTTCCGGCCGGGGGTTTTGGGGGTGAACTGAGGGAGGAGGAGGATGATCTTGTCGTTCTTTTGTTGGGGGTTTTGGGGATGTCGTCGTCGTCGTTGGCCATTTTCCTTCTTTGAGATTTCGAGAAGAAATTGGAGGGATTAGAAACCCTAGGCCTCGTGGGAGTGTGAAGAAGAAGGAGAGGGAAAATGAACGCGCTTGGAGTTTGGGCGGCAAAGTTGGAGAATAATGGGCTGGGCCTAACGGAGTTGGGCCTTTGCAACTATTGCTGTGCGTTCGATGAAGGAGAAAGAGACAAAGGTCATACAGGTCATGCTACCGTCTGCAGTTTTTTGCTAAATAAACAGAGAGTCGAAATTCACAATTAATGTTAGCTCTCCACCGACAGATTGTGTGCGGGGTCTGATAAAATCTTTAAAATCATCTGGTAGAGATTCTCCCTAGCCGTTTCCTTGTAGCTCGACGCTAACCACTTCAATATTGATTGAAGTGGAGAAGCGTCCAAAAGTGGCTGACCATCACTTAAATTCGTGAAACTTCGCGCAAGTTGTTTTTCATATCCTAAATTGTTTAGTATGTTGGGAAATATGAACGGTTTAGATAGTAATTAACACGAATTAAGTTTTGAACAGTTGATAATTAAATCAGATAATATCAGATAAATATTGTAACTCAGAAATAAAATTAATTCAAACGAAAAAATAAATAGAGTTAGAAATAAGGCCTGATGGTCGAGGCGTGCAAGCATTGTCCCAAGAATCTAATTGCCCCCTCTCGTACAGGGCTACGAGGTAAAAGTTCATTGAGATACAACGACCATCGGTCAGGCGACCTCCTTCTCGTCGGCACGAGCTTCAAGAAGGCTTTGCAAACTCTTCTAGACTTTCAGGAACTAGCAAAATATAATAGCAGGTAAACGTAAGAAGAAGAACAGAGCAGAGAAGAATAAGAGATTTTGTGTTTTTTCTATGTAAAACTCTTCGAGTTTAAGTCCTTTTATAGGGTTAAAACAACTGTTATTCATAAACCCGCACTTAATACATTTTTAATCACGTTAATAAATCTTAGCCGTTACAAAATCAAAATGTTTTCGTTACGAAATAAATTCGCAAAATATTTATCACGTTTTTAATCTTAGCCGTTACAAAATATTTCATTAATCACATTTTTTTCTTTTAAATTGTTCCAATTAGCAAAAATAAAAATGTAGCAGATTAAGAGCCCATTAATCCGGAGCTGCATTCGTGTGCGCGCGCCACCCGACCCGACCCCGAGCCCGAGCCCGGCCCGGCCGGCGCGCGCGTGTGTGGTGCCCGACCCGACCCCGAGCCCGAGCCCGGCCCGGCCGGCGCGCGCGTGTGTGGTGTGGAGCATAACCTTTATTTTCATCTAGGCATATGAGAGAAAGGGAAGACTTATAAACATATCTTCCCATCTCTTTTCCAATGTGGGACTAAACTTTTTCTCTACAAACCCAAGTTTTAAATTACAACTCCAACAATCCTCCATATAACTTAAAACTTAAAATAACTCAAAAATAAGAGTAAAATAAAAATAAATAAATAAGATTGTTGGTTCCCTTATACTATGTAATAGGTGGAGGTACCTTTCGGTTTGAACATTCACTTAGTGACAGTTGTATAGATCCGTGAGAGCTTGGTGGACTACGCCTTGAACCAATCCCATTTATCGGATTTCTACAGAAAGCACACATAGTACAGTTTTGAAGAATTCTAAACGGGCTGTGCTTTTATCGGCCTTGTGCATGTATCTTTCATGTGTGTTACTAGGGAGCAGCCATGATCCCATAGTCGCGGCCTCATAACTACACACATATAGGTGAATCCTATTAAGGATGCGAGCAAATAAGCATCATGCCTCATGGGTCTTGGATTTATTAAGTGTTAGACTCAACCTTTCACTTGCTTTTTATGAGCACTGATCACTCTAGGGATGGGAGCAAATAAATTTAGTGCTCCTCACAGTTAATCACTCATTCAGTTTGTTTCTACCTATTGAACCTCTGCGAGGTTGGGTTGCCACTGCAGTGATTTTTCTTATGGGCTTAACCATATCCCCCTCGATGATTCTAGGACCACTGCCCTAAATAAGCCTTTAGTTAAGTGATCTGCAAGATTTTTCTCTGATCTTACAAAGTCTAAGGCTATTATATGATACACTTTCAAGTGTCGATTCATTTTCACATCTGCATTCTCTTGATGGCATTTGTCAATCGCTGACCTGTAATCACAATGAATAGAAATAGCTGGTAATGGTTTTTGCATTAGTTGAATTTTAGTTAGTAAATCTTTCAACCATTCAGCTTCTATACTAGTAGTATCAAGGGCTATCATTTCTGATTCCATTGTACTTCTAGCCATTACAGTTTGTTTAGTAGATTTCCAGGACACAGCTCCTCCTCCTAAAAGGAACACAAATCCTGTGGTGAATTTTACATCTACTGAGTCACTAATCTAATTTATAGCTGAATAATCTTCTAGTACAGATGGATAACCTTTATAGTGTAAACCATAATTCATAGTTCCTTTTAGGTATCTCAAAACTCTTTCTAGAGCATCTCAATGACTCTTATCAGGATTTGATATATATCTACTAAGTCTATTTACTGCATAAACAATGTCAGGTCTTGTGTAGTTTGTTAGAAATCCTAATGATCCAATTATTTGTGCATATTCTCTTTGTAATTGAGGATAACCTGTATTTTTCTTTAGATGTATATTAGGATCATATGGAGTAGAAACAAGTTTACAGTTTGGATCATAAAAGTTCTTGAGAATTTTCTCTATATAATGTGATTGTGACAGCACATATCCATTCTTATTCTTTAAGATTTTAGTGTTAAGAATTAAATTAGCTTGACATAAATCTTTTATGTCAAATTTTGTGATAAAAAGTGTTTGATATCATTTATGATTTGTATGTCAGAACCAAAAATAAGAATGTCATCAACATATAAGCATAATATCATAATTTTGTTGTTATTGTCTATTTTATGATATACACACTCATCTATTTGATTAATTACAAATCCATGAGATAGTATAATTTTATCAAATTTCATATGCCATTGTTTTGGGGCTTGTTTGAGACCATATAGTGATCTAATAAGCTTGCATACTTTCTTTTCTTGTCCAGAGACAACAAATCACTCGGGTTGATCCATATAAATTTCTTCATCTAAGTCTCCATTTAAGAATGCAGTTTTAACATCCATTTGATGTATTATTAATTTGTGAATGGATGCTAGAGCTATGAGGACTCTAATGGTAGTAATCCTAGCTACTGGAGAATAGACATCAAAATAATTAATACCAGACTTTTGGGTATATCCTTCAGCTACTAATCTAGCTTTATATTTATATATTGTTCCATCAGGTCTAAGTTTCTTCTTAAGCACCCATTTACATCCTATACTTTTACATCCCAGAGGAAGATCAGTGAGTTCCCAAATATGATTTTGAAATATATATTGAATCTTATTATTTATAGCTTCCTTCCAAAATGGAGCATCTACTGATTTCATTGCATCCTCAAATGTAATTGGAGAATCTTCTACAAGTAATGCATAAAAATCTTCATGGACCTTTTCTATTCTAGTTCTTTTACTTCTCCTAGGCTCCTCTGGACTTTCTAGTGGTCTAATTTGTTTAGAACTAGTTTCACCTTGGTTAGAACTAGGATCTGAAATGCTAAAGCTAGGACCTGTGTTGTTTACTTTGGTCTTGTAAGGAAAAATATTTTCAAAGTAATGTGCATCCCTAGCTTCAATTATGGTGTTGTTGGCTATCTCATTAATATCAAAGTTAATTATTAAAAATCTATTTGCATTGCTATCAGAAGCATAGCCAATAAATATTCAATCTACAGTTTTAGGGCCTATTTTCTTTCTCTTATTTTTAGGTATCTTAACTTTTGCTAAACACCCCCACACTTTCAAGTGATCTAAATTAGGGTTTCTATTCTTCCAAATTGTGTAAGGGGTTTTATCAGATTTCTTGAATGGAATTCTATTTAGTATGTGACAAGCAGTCATGAGGGCTTCTCCCCACAAATTTTCTGACACACCAGAATTAATTAACATTGAGTTTACCATGTCCATTAGTGTTTTATTCTTTCTCTCAACTACTCCATTAGATTGAGGTGTATATGGAGCAGTTATTTCATGAATAATTCCATTCTCTTCACAAAATTGTTTTAATTCATTAGAAGTGTACTCACCATCTCTATCTAATCTTAGTATTTTAATTTTCCTATCCAACTGATTTTCAACTTCTGCTTTATATATTTTTAATTTGTTTATGACTTCATCTTTGGTCTTAATTAAGTAGAGGTAACAATATTTAGAACAATCGTCTATAAAAGTTACGAAATATTTGTTACCTCCTCTAGATGTTCTTCCTGAATCACAGACATCACTATGGATGAGTTCTAATATCTCAGAATCCCTATCAATAGTTTTAAATGGTTTCTTAGGAAGTTTGGCTTCTACACGTATTTCACATTTTTCATCATCTTTTATATTAAGCTTTGGAATTATATTGAGATGCATCAATCTTTTAATTGAATTATATTTCACATGTCCTAATCTTTGATGCCAAGTGATGGAAGGTTCAATATTTAAAGTCATTGGAGATGTAAGAGTAGAATTCTTAACATTCAATTTAAAGAGACCATCACATAAAAAACCTTTTCCAATGAAGTTCAATCCCTTAGTTATTATAAGTTTATTTGATTTAAAAACAAGTTTGTAGCCTTGTTACACTAATAAAGATCCACTAATCAAATTTCTCCTAATGGCTGGTACATGGTGGACATCCTGTAGGATCAAAGTCTTATCAGAAGTCAGCTTTAGGTTGATCCGACCTATTCCAGATACAGGAGCCATATTATTATTTCTCATTGTCACAGTTCCTCTACTTGAGACCTGATAAGTGGAAAAACAAAGATTGATTAGAGCAAACGTGAATATTAGCTTCAGTGTCAATCCACCAATCATTTGCTTGAAAGGTTATGTTTACTTCAGGGGTGAAGAGAACAGACCTGAAAGCAGTCTCAGCTGGACTGGAAGTCACCATGTTTACTTGTGACTTATTAGGTGGAGGTCCTCCCTTCCTAGGCTTGGGTGGTTCAGTTTTCTTGAAAAAGCAATCCTTAGCAAGGTGGTTGGTTCTTCCACAAACGAAGCAGGCTCGACGTTCAGCTTCTTCCTTCTTTTGAAAGTGGACAGG